TTAAAAATTTTGTACAAATACAAGTTATTGTACTCATATTGTGTTTCATGAGTAAGATTTTAATTTGTGGCAGCACCAGAAGTCTCTGGCTTCTCACTGCGGCGGCACGGGTTCGATCCCGGGTCTGGTCAAGTGGGATTTGTGGTGGACAAAGTGGCCCTGGGGCATGTTTTTTCCGAGTACTTCGGTTTCCCCTGCCAATCTTCATTCCACAAATTGCTCCACAATCACCCTCACCTATCATCTGGAGCGGGTAGAATAGGCCAGAAGTGGCCGCAGTACAAGGGACTTAGTCCCAACACACTAGCAATAAAAAAAAAGTTTTTAATTTGTCATTCAGACATGGATTCGCTTTATTTTTGTTCTTTTCGCTCTTCGAAAGCACGTGAACAAAAATAATCAACAAAGAAAAAACAAAACAAAAATTATACTTCACTAATCGAAGAACCGGAATTGATAGGCGGCCCTCTATACGTGTGCACGTGACACAGAGAGAGAGGGAGCTGTCGGGTTAAAACAAATGAGGTGCTTGAAAAATTAATATAAGTCGTCTACTACTTAGCGTGTTTAATTCCTCAAGCAAAGTAATATATTACTTATAAGATACATATTGCAAAACGATTTGTATCTTCTGCCAGTACAAGGTTGCCACATTGTCTTCTTCATTAATTTTACATATCTCTTTCTTCTAATGGAATTTCTGTACTTTGTAAATAAATATAGGCGTATTGTATTATGGTAGTTCCTTCTTGTGCAAGCTTATGTCCCACAGCATCCTCGAAACCGTAGAAAGGCTCTTTCGCAACTATGTACAAACATTATTCCACTAGACGCTGCCAAACTCTACACTTTGTAATTTACTACTACGAATAATAATGATAACATGGCTAACGCACGAATTTATAAAATGGAAGCGACAGTTAAAATGTCTTTATGTAATGACTGAAATGTTTTCTGGCCTTTTCCCTTAATTTGACATGCAACTTTTATTAAGTTGTTAATTCTGTGAAATCTAACGTAAAATGGTGACTCTGCAATATTAATTTTCCGTTTGGTGGCAATATGTATTATACACAAGTATAAATTCTGAATAAAATATACAGTACTTATAAATATGGCGGCGGTGCAAAATTATGGAATTATATCTGAAGAATACGATGAAGAAGAAGTCAGGAGGCTTCACAGAATCAAACCGTCACAACTGTTAACCAGATTTGCTATCTAATTTTGTAAAGACTTGCTATTTTAATTTTGTAAAACAATTAACTAATTGACTATAATTAGTTAAATTACATATAGAACGAGTTCATTGGAACACGTTCTTCATGTTAAATTACATTTATATCTATACTCATCATAACTAGTACTTATTATCCATAATAGCTGGATAGATTGTATAATAAATTGGAGAAATAAAAAAAAAAATCTGAAGAATGTAACGCAATAGGAGTTTGCATTAGTGGAAAATATTCAATGAAAGTTAATCATTAATCCTTATAATTAAACACCATAGCCCCCTTGCTGGTCCCAAGGCTAATAGGAAATGACGCTTGACATCTTCCCGGTATTTCATATTTTCATTACAGTTAACCCACTCCGTTACCTCGTACCGCATGGAACACAGTTGTGTGCTTTCTCCTTTGTAGTGTGTACTAAAACGACTGTGGTGTTGGTTTCATGAACACATTTTCCAATCCTACATCATCCTACATCCTACGTCACTCAAATTCGTTACCAATTTACGTTAGCCGGCTCTGTGGTCTAGTAGTCAGGGTTCTTGGCTACAGATTCAGAGGTCCCGGGTTCCATTCCCGACGCTACCAGATTTTCTGAGAATAGTGGGTCTGGAACGGGATTCACTCAGCCTCGTGAGGATAAATGAGGAGCTACTTGAATGGAAAAGTAGCAGTTCCGGTCTAGAAAACCGTGGGAATTCGTTGGGCTGGCCACGTGACAATTTCTATCCGCTAAAGTTGGCACTAACTTCGCCAACAAGCGGCGGTCGCTCGGTCGATATAGTTCGTTTGCGGACTAAAGCCACGGAGTTTGTATGTATGGAGTGCCAGTAGTCAGTGATGGTCGCCATAGTACTTTCTTATTTCTAAATAGCCAGCTGCTACCAGTGACGGTAAAGTTATCCGTATATTTGATTAAACAGCACTCCACGAGGACACATGTACTCTCAGTCTCGGCAGTAGATGTAGGTGAGTGGTCAGCTTCGCGTCTCTGCTGCTTTACGTCGCAGGAAAAATATCCGTTGGGTCAGAGGCTGGGTGAGCCGCAGAACCGGACGCTGTGTGTATCGCTGTCTGGAATCGAACCCCGATTCCTAAGCCGTCCATTTCTTCGTTATAGGAAATGAGCTACTCCGGACGCCCAATTGCTGTATGTTGTGATCCAAAGTGCTTCCCCACCCCTGTCAAATTGAAGTCTCCCAAAGGGCTCCAAACTCCACAGATTAAGAATTTAATTATACAGGGGTGAATAAGATGGACAACGGCAAGGAACAGTGAGTAATGGGGTATTGTCTGTTGGCGATCTTGCAGCGTTCGCCTGGAATCTCGAGGAAGTCTGCCAGAAACTTTAAGCATTATCGCCGGTAACGCGATTACACTCGATCGGACCATGTTCACGTAGCGTTACCGCTCGGCTATGGAGTTTGTCTCCTGCGCACCTTTCTACGCGCAGACGATGTAAGAACACTGATCCAATGTTTACATACGGGTTTGCATAACCTTAGTGTTTGACTTGCTGTCAAGGTTTCGAGGTGCGAATTGCCTTTAAAATATCAACAGAACGTGTTTGTATGGATGTGCTGAATGGAACCGAAGTTCCTAATGGATACTGGAGGAATATTAAACGTATCCGTTATAGGCTTGGTTCGTAGGACTAAAAAATGTTTGATCCTCTATAAAATAAATAATGTTTGTGCAGGATATGTCAGGATAATTTTAGGTACTGTGTTTGATTCCCGATTTTGCTGACGTTTCTTCTTTTAGTCATTACTGCCAGGCAAACACCGTCAGAGTACCTGGAAATAAGCAAGGATCTCCTCTTCCCAGTTCATGCTAATTTTGTCATTCATATTTCCTTCTCATTGGTTCCTGCATTTAAAACCTGAGACCCATCAAATCTGCAACAGTGTAACAGTGATCAGCTATATTCAATGTCCTTAAATTTTGATCTATCCTCAATTCTGGCTGGTACTTTTTCAGTCTGTTTTTGGACCAGCCTTCTTGTCGGTTTTTTCAAAGAAAGAAGAGGTTCTCCAATCGATATTAACAAGCATGTATATATATATANGAAGGGTGATTAGAGGGAAAATACAAAAACGCTGATCTAAAAAAGTAGAGCTGGTAGAGAAAAACTGATTTTATATTTAGATTCAGCGCCTTAAATATAACTAAAATTAGTTCTAAAATCCTAGACACCCAAAAAAAATTTTTTTTTGTAGGCCTGTGTAATAGTTCAATTCAATTCAATTCAATTCATGTTTATTTACGTGCAATAACTTAACAGCACAGTGGCCAATTACAAAGTTAGCACGAGTATATAAAGATACAGAAAATAATTAAAACAAAATACAAATATGACAAATAAATCTGTGAGCATAAATCTAAAGAAGACTGAAATATATACATACATTTATGAAATATTACGAGTGTTGCTAATACTATTAGTAACTAAATACTAAGATAAGACAACTGGGAGTGATAGCATAAAATTAATAACAAATCAATAAATTAAAACCAATCACATAAGAAAATTAAAGTTAGCCGAGGTATACACATTTGTAGTTAATGAAAACACTAATCAAGTAACACCGTTAAAGGTTTGGTACATGCTTGTAAAATATGATTCAGATAAAAAATTGATTCCTGTAAACAAATATTTTTTCGTTTTACGAAGGCAACTTAGAAAAGCTGTTATTATCGTGATAGCCCCATTCATTCTTCCATATGAAGAGCATGGAGGGGGTAATGACAATGAGAACTGTTATAATCACTAGGAAATCATGTGACTTAATACAGATGCCTTTGTTCCAAAATAAGATGCGATAATGTGACCATGGAAGAAGGAATCATACTGCTTATCTTCGAGATCTGAGCTTTAAATACACTGATTTTCTTCCACGAAATTATAATATATATTTTTTAATGAAAAATCCAAAGGGTTTATGGGTACCTGCATCTATTAAACGATCCATAACTGATGTCATAGAATATGTGTCTTCGTATGTTGTCATAGTATCCGTGGTAAGGAAATAATGCTGTTTATTACAGAATCATTTCCAATATAATGACAATCTAAACTTAGTTCACTCTAGAAGTGTGAATGAACTAATTTCGTCATTTAACAGACTCCATGTAAATTTCTGAAGCACTTCAGATAACTTCTATAGTTTCTGTTGTCGACGAAAACCTGAAGTGCTATCAAAAAATTGCTCTGGGACAACATTCTCCGGCACAAATCACACATACATCGCCGAGAATCGAACTCGGACAACCTTGGTGTGGGTCAAGTAATCTAGCCACTTAATGGCAGCCTTCTGCAAACGAGCTGCGTTGTGAGGTCAAAGAAGAAACGCATGTGTAAGTGCAAGAATGTAGAGAGGTTGAAAAATCAACAAAAATTGTTGTGCAAATTTCAGTGCAGATTACATGCTCGTGTAGGAGAATTTCGTTTAGTTTGTAAGATTTGAGGTTTTTACGGCGGTTACTATGAAGAAAGCAGTCTTCTGGGATGTGGCACGGTGTAGATATGGTGTTAACCATCATTTCGGAGGAACGTATCGCCTCCATCTTCAGGATAGAAGGAAAAATAAGAAAATCCGCAAGTGAAGAGACCGTGAGAACCGGTACAAGCAGACTGGTCCTCCGAAACGTCGGTTAATATCCATGTACAAGGTGCCACATACCAGAAGACTGCTTCTTCGTTTAGTTTGTTTCCAATTTGTTCATACACTGAATACTAATTAAGCTATGTTATATTTGTTGCAGGCCAAAATGAATTCATCCGACCAATCCATGCAGAAAGGTAAGACATGAACAGAAATATAATCCAGTTTATTGACCTCCACTGGTTTTATTTAAGAATTGGGAACAAGGTCTTTTATTTAGAACAGCTTTTATTGACCTCCATCATAGTGGAAAGCTCATGTGACAGGAGCGAAGAGGGTCATTCGGGTTCATTAGTCCTTATTCGGACATCAGGAAGTGAAACCATCCGAAGGTTTTCCCAGTTTCGGCAAACGGTCTTTTATGTAAATGACAAAAAGTCGTTTGCTTGAAACAACTGCAAAAGCAAAAACATTTATTGTAATGGTTTCAGTTAGATTTGATATTCTTCTGTACAAGGTCAGCGATAATTAGATATCTTTGCAGATATTCCACCTACAGTCGGATTTTCGTTATACTCTTGTGCTACTGGTTTCTTGAAACTTACCTTGAGAGGCACGGAAGGCAGACTACAAGCCCTGAGGAAGAACTTTGAGGGAGTACTTTTATTTATAATCTATCTTTATTCTTGTTGCTCCTATTTGGAGCATAGGGCATCAGTGAAACTCTTCTTTTCACATCAATTCCTTAAGCTCAGAGAGTCGGTAGGACTCCTTGGATGATTGATCAGCCCGTCGCAAGGCATCTACCCACACACAAACAGAGAATAAACGCACATACAGACATCAATGCCTTGAGTTGGATTCGAACCTATGATTCCAGTGTTCGAGGGAACGAAGACATTCATGCCTTAGAACGCCGGCCACTTTGATAAGTTTTATTTGTAATAGAATTGCAGATATACTTTGAAAGGCAGTAGCGATAGGTGCAGTGAGTGTGGTGGCATGACCAAGAGCTGAGGACAGGAATTTGATTCCAGCTACGGACAGAGATTTATCTATTCATCACGTCAATACTGACTGTCCTTTGGCTACCAGGCCACTTCCTCGGTGTGAAGTGGCCAGAACGCGAAGCAGACCACGTATCTCCAACAAGTGCCCAAATTCAAAATATCTGTAATTGTACCTCAATTCCGACATGTATGGTCATGTCGTGGTACTTCTTTCAAATCAATTCCGTTCTTATCCTCTTACTTCCAAATTCAGTGGGGCGGAAGTACATGAATAACTCCAACTTGCTAACGTAAGTTTCTATTTTTAATTTGATGGAGGAATACACGTGACAAATACTTCAAAATTAAACACTCAGGAAAATATTTCACTAAAGAATGGGGACGCAACTGGCAAATATAGAGTATTACGTTACAAAGAAGCTTTTCATTTCTACAAAACAACTAGAATTGTGCAGATATTGAAATAATGGAGATTCTATAGGCTAAACTTGTAGATGGAATATGAGAAACAAGGAATGTATACAGGAATTTGTGGAGAAACTTCTTAGAGAAAAGCCACTTGAAAGACGGGGCGAATAGGAGGATATGATAGTAAGATAGAAGCTAAAGTTTTCCTTTTGCTTAACCAATTAAGCACAACTCCATGAAGGCGTATGGAGGAATGCATGTATGGATCCACATTTTCTTTACCTCGGCACTATTTTGAGGTGAGTGGTCAGCTTCACGCCCCTGCCGGTTTACCGCCGTGGAGAAAAACCACGTTGCCCATTGGATAGGTGGTTTGGTGGATACAGAGCCGGTCTTGACGACATTGAAAAGTGAAAATTCTTGTCCCCATCGATACTCGAACTCCAACCCCTTGGTCGTCCAGCCCGTCGACAGTCGCTATACCGACTGCGCTATCCCGGTTCTGGATAATGATAGTAGTAGTAGTAGTAATAATAATAATAATAATAAATAGATTGGGAGGATAAAGGATGCAAGCAACAGGCTCAGGATTGTCTTAATAACGGATTTCAGTGCAAGCGGTGGCAACCTTTGGTTCTACTGCCACATAGAAATCTGGGCTAATAGAACTCGACTAAATTTATTTAAAATTACCTCAAGTATTTCAATTGTTCATTTATTCATTCATTCGTACATACATTCATTCTTTCAACAATGGCTCTACAGCCCTTTAAAGGGTCCTGGCCTCTTCTTCAGTTTTGTAATCTTTTTATATAGGTATACTTCTCCAGTATTTAAGAATGCTCATGTAGGTTATGGCTAAGAATATTCATCTAATTTAGGATAGATGAAATTACTGGAAGACTAAGAGCTTGTAATTTTCTTTTAGCTTATTTTTGGCACGATGAATTTTAGCATTCACGCACCTCAGCTGCATCCAGCGTTAGTTGAGTCCTTATGATGTTGCTGTGTTAATATATTTGCAAGGTCACTCTTTATATCTATTATTAATTCTTGGAAATTCCTGAAAAAAACCATTGGACAATGAAGGCAAATTCCCATTTTGCAAATATCCGGTATTTGATATCGCTTTGAAATGACATCACAGAGCTTCTGAACAGGTGTGCCATGAAAGTTTGTGACCTCACCTTTTGAATTGAATTGGGATTCTGTAGTTGAGTCTGACTGCATCTCCCAAGTTCCTGTAACACCTACAGAAGAAACTACAAATGCATGCAGAATGTGAGTCGGGAAATCTAAAGAGAGGCAGCAACTTGAGAGACGTACCGATAGATGGGACGACTGGGCAGTAGAATAAGGAAATGTGGGCTTGAAACTTGACCCAGAATATATACCAGTGGGGGTGAACTTGTGATAAGGAAACGTCAGAAAATGAAAATACCTCCGCGGAATTGATTCACAAGTGTGACAGTAGCAGTCACATCTGACTCGGCTATATTTTATCTTTATATTAACCTGTGCATCTAATCTTTGATCTAACTATGTTGCGTTTTCTTTAAAGTTATTCACACAAGACTACAGTAGTTTTTCCGCTTGTGATTACATACACTACACATAGAAAGTAAGAACACCTTCGTTTCAGCTTTTCTTATCGCTATGACCCCCTGCCTTCTCGTCGTGTTCGTTTGAGTAAAGTAGGAGGAAATATTACGAAATATTTCTTCACTCTTTCCTCTCAAGCAGCGAGTCTTATGTGACTGCATAATCATAATGCAGCTTGTACATATTAATGGCCTGATATGTAAGGGTAGGATAATTTCTTGTAATTTGTTTTAGCAAATAATAAAACATATTCAAATTTATAAGAACGGAAGTCGACTAAATGGACAGTAATTAGTGAGTAATTCTGAAAATAGAGAAATGAAGGTCCAAATGTATGGTTTGAATTAGTGAAATAGGAAATATATACAGAATTTTTATTTTGAAATTTTTTGCAGAGCTATAATTCAGTAGTCTGAGACTGGGATCAGTAGCCAGATGCTGATACCAAGTTATATAAGCACAGTCTTCTAGTAACTGTGATGAAACTTCGAGTTTCGTAGAAAGACAGAAACTGTAACAGCTGAATAATTTTCTACTGGTAAGGAGACTTATTTCAAGCAAACAGCGTGTAGATGGGAGAGTCAGTGAGTGAGTTATCTCAATAAATTTATTAAATGAAATTAGTACTCTCGTGCATCTTTGATTCTTCTTCTTTGGTAGAAACTGTAAGTACAAAGATCGATTTCATTAATTGCCATCAAAGTTCTGGGAATTTTATAAAGTTTTATGGTGAATACAAAAGGCTTCAAATATTTTATTGGGGCGTGAAATCTAGTGTAACTTAGTCCAACTTACTGCATGCATCAGAATAGTTTCGAACACTTGGATTCTTTTAAAACCTTTTAATCATAATTCATTGACACTGTCACTAAAAATAATTGTTGTAACTAACCACAAAATATATGATAAATTTTGGTTGAAATATTTTATGCGTTATTTATAGAAATTACCTAACATGAAGGCGAATTAGGGGGTTTACTTACGTTTATGTGAAAAATGTCATCTTCTGGGATGTGGCGCCTTGTAGATCTTGTGTGGACCGACGATACGGAGGAACGTACCGCCTCCATCTTCAGGGTAGAAAAATTCGCAAGTGAGGAACCAGCGTGAGTATGTGGTTCACACAAGATCTACACGGCTCCGCATCCCAGAGAATGGCATTCTTCAGAGTCACAGCCGTGAAAACCCTCAATTCATACTTATGTGTATTTATCCACCACAATGATTCATCCCAAAAACTAGTTGATAATTTTTATTATTATTATTTTTGCCAATTTACGATCAACTTAACCGTAAAGAAAGTAACAAGTAAATGTGATAATCTTCTTATGTCTTGAAGGCGGTAACTGCCCAGAGGCAGTTCTCAGCCATTTAATTTCTTAAGTTTTCTGGCCACTGGTTGATAAATACCCATAAAATTTGGTCCTAGTGAGACTGTATGAATGTATTTAATGTAAGTTTTTCCCGTGTGGACATGTGACGTCAAATCTACTCTATTGATAGACTAAGACGGAAAGCTTTTCGGTAATATAAAACGTATGCCACATTACGATCTATGGCCTATTGATTTTTTTTAAATATTTGTTGATGTTTTCTAGCGAAATGTAAGGAAAGATAATTTTTGTTTGTCTCTAGTGTGGCGATATACCGTGTGCAACAGATAAACCAGAGGATAATTTAAATTTCAGGAAATCGCCCAGAACGCCTTTATGAAACACGCCGTTCGAGCGCACAGTTTGATTTTCAATTCACTCCTAATCTTTATTTACTGCAGTATAGCTAGAATACTAAACTTTCGGTAGTGCATTCATCAAAACAAAAAACAACTCCGTGGCCTGTAGTCTGCAAGCGAACTATACCGACCGAACGACCGCAACTTGTCGGCGAAGTTAGTGTGACTTTATCTGATAGAGAGTGTCACGTGGTCAGCGCAACGGATCTCCTCGGCTGTTAATTTCGGTTTTCTAGACCGGATCCGCTATTTCCTTGAAATAACTCCTCAATTATCTTCACGAGGCTGAGTGGACCCCGTTTCAGACACATTACTTCTCAGAAAATTTGGTGGCGTTGGGAATCGAACCCGAGACCTCTGGATCTGTAGCCTGGAACGCTTAGCCCTAGACCACAGAGGCGGTCAGTACATTCATTCTATACCGAAATCTACTGTTAATTCAGTA